CTGAACTCTCCTCCTGTCCGCATTCAATTCACACGGATCGACCGTCACGCAGAGAACATGCGATCGTGCAGGATACAAATGCACACTTCACATGATCTCTCAGCTGGATTCGACTAAGTCTGCAAGGTTTGTGAAATTAAATGTTCATTATTCATTAAAAGATTTGTTTATATGATATAAATGCATATTTGCTGAATGCTGATGGCAAACGAGAGTATTATAATGTTTGCCTTTCTATTACTAATAATATAATACTTTGTATACATTTTAATTCCTTTATTTAACCATTCTATCTGTTTATTAGATAGACTTCTATCCGTATTAGACAGAACTGTTAACGATGACAGTGAACAAGAGGTAGAATGTGAGCACTGTATGCTCAGGCGCTGCCTTTCTCAGCGCCGTCAAAATAAAAGTCTGTCGTGCCGTCAAAATAAAAGTCCCGCCTCTAACGCATCGGCCAAAAAGAAAAACTTATCGGCCGATGCTGATATTTGAAAAATGCCAAATATCGGCCGGTATATCGGCCTTGGCGATATATCGGTCGACCACTAGTCGATGGTATTGTCCATTTCGTTGTTGTCAACTATGGTTTTGTCTCTTCAGTTTCCTTTCCAAAGCGAGAAGAAAGGAAAGTGCTATTGATTTTTATTGAAAGTGAAAGTGACGTGACATGTGGCCAAGTATGGTGACCCATACTTGGAATTAGTGCTCTGCATTTACCCATCCAAAGTGCACACACTTTTTTGCTGCGGCGCCCGGGGAGCAGTTGGGTGTTCGGTGCCTTGCTCAGGGGAACCTCAGTCATGGTATTGAGGGTGGAAGAGAGCGCTGTACATTCACTCCCCCCACCCACAATCCCTGCCGGTACGAGACTCGAACCCGCAACCTTTGGGTTACGAGTCCGATTCTCTAACCATTAGGCCACGACTTCCCCATTTTTTGAATGAATAATTGCAGTCATTTGCAATCATTTGATTGTCTCAAATGATATTTACTCATTTTCTGTGTGTGTGTCTGTGTGTGTGTGCGTGTACATGCATGCTTAACTCCACCTTTTCAAAGCCCTTAGTCACTGTGTTTCATGTTGTTCTATTTCCACAGAGAAAGACTACAACAGCCTTTGTGAGAGGCAGCCAAACGGACGCTTGCTATTCCGGCAGTTCTGTGACACCAGGCCAGAGTTGAGGTGCTGTGTCAAATTTTTGGATGCTGTGGTGAGAAGCAGACCACTAATTATTCTTCACTTTAAAGACAAAACATGTTTGTTTCTACTCTTTACAAACAACCCGCCTTGCATACAGTGAAAGTTGAGGGTAGTTCTGGAGCAATTTCCAAACTATAGGAATAACCTTAACCCTACGTTACACATAACGTACTGTGAGGTCATTGTGGTGTTTAGGTGGGCTTATGTAGACATATGAAGGATTTTAAAACTTAAGATTTAAAAAGTTTCTAATTGAATGGAACAGCTCTGGCTATGGAAGTAGCCTTTAAGGGCTGTTCACACCGAGGACAATAACTAACTATAAGGCCACGCGCGTGTCCACCAAAGTGTTTTTAGCCAGCTGAAAACGCCAGGCACTCTGCTGAAAACGCCCAGCTGTGAGCGCATGAGAGCACAGCATTTTTTCAGTTGCGACGCTGTGGTTGCTATGATATGAAATATCCGCTGAAGTAATATGGCAGACGCATTGCGAATGAAATGTTTTTCCAATAATTATTTTTCATAATAATAATAATATGGTAGTCCGGCAATTCCATCTGGTAAAGAAATACTCGGAGACGAGCAATATTAACTTCTCTTTTGTTGTTCAGTCGTAGTACAAGCAGGTGTGACGGTTGGTCGGTATTAGTCCCGCCCCTCCTCCACTGTGATTGGTCAGCTGACTAAAAAGTGACAGTGATGAGCGCTGCATTTTACACAAAGTTGAACATTCTTCAACTCTCGGCGCCAAGAAAAAGTGCCGGAGCACTCAGTGCTCGGCGTGAAAAATACGCCAGCCTCGGAAAAAAATGCTTTGGTGAACACGCGGCCTAAAGCTTTAATAATCATTCTTATTTTATGAGAATAGGGTACACAATACAGCTGTAACGATAACGTCACAGAGGAACAACATTTTTTGCAGTCACTTTCAGAGCTGATGAACGATAAAAACATTAACAGTCAATCAGAATCCACCTGATATGAAAGAGCTTGAGCATTTAAAGAAACAGACGCCATAACTGAAGCGAGCTTTTGTAATAAACATTATTGGTATCGTTATCATCTGTAAGCGTGGACGCTAATGTAGTTAACGTTACAGATGTCTTTATACTTACCGTTCTTGGTGTGAATGTGCCAAGCTGGTAAAATGTAAAAGTTAACCGGCAGAATTCATAACCAAATATCACAGAAAACCAAATGTTACAACTTGTAAGGCATAAAATACATGTGTATATAGTCAAAAATATTGCGCTGACCCAATGAAGAAAGTCAAATTTTAATAATGTGTAAAATAAGCGGTCGTTTCAGTTCAGCAGTTTTGTGTAAATCTCAGTCGGTACAAATTGTATTGGCATTACGTTGACCATTATGCCACCCTAATCTCCTTTATTTTATTTATTTATATAGTGCTTTTAACAATACAGATTGTGTCAAAGCACTTTACAGTATTAAATAGGAAAATAGTGTGTCAATAATGCAAAATGATAATAGTAAACACTCAATTTTCAGTTAAAGGCAGTTCATCATTGAATTCAGTGATGTCATCATCCAGCTCAGTTCAGTTTAAATAGTGTCTGTGCAATCAAGTCGACGATATCGCTGGATATTAAGTGTCCCCAACTAAGCAAGGCAGAGGCGACAGCGGCAAGGAACCAAAACTCCATCGGTGACAGAATGGAGAAAAAACCTTGGGAGAAACCAGGCTCAGTCGGGGGGCCAGTTCTCCTCTGGTCAGACGAAACCTGCAGTTCAATTCCAGGCTGCAGCAAAGTCACATTCTGTCCCGGTGGTCGTCTAGGAGACAAGGTCTTCACTGGGGATCTGCTCTGGGGCTCATCTAGTTGTCCTGGTCTCCGCTGTCTTGAAAGCGAAGGCGAGATATTGAAACTTTTCCTTCATTACATTTGTTGTCATGACATCCAGTGAGCGTATGACGTTTGACATAATCGGACGACATTTCACCGCTAATATGAGTAATTTTTTATTTATTTATTTTTGTTATCACTTAGATTATGGCCATTTG